GGACTTGTTAGGAAGGTAGATATTGAATTCTCTAGAATGGCAGCCTTTCTGTTTCCTTATTGAGAGAGTGCCCAAAACCTCACATTGGAAGGCCCCCAAAATACATTTTACAGAAGCCATGAGTTTTGCTAAATTTTCCTTTCCAGTATTATAGTTGATCTATGATTTCATTCAATGTGTTTCTTTTTCTTCCCAGCAGTGCAGATAGCAGTCTGTCCATGTCTGCCCATTTTGAGTGACTCCAGTCCATGCTTTTTCATAAATTCACCACAAGTCAAGGAAATCCTTTATATTTTCTTCATAATAGCAAGCATTGCTTGCCACTTGAATTGACCCAACAGCTCACTTTTGATGATGTAAACAGTCCATATTTTTCGCCTTTTTACCTTAGTATGTTTCTGACTCTTTTTTTCCTCTTGTTTTCCAAACCATTATTTTTTTATTTGAATATTAGGGATTCTTGTCATTCTTTGTTAAAAGAAATATAAGCGTATTTTGTTGCCCCAACTAACCTTGTTTTTTAGGAACATGGTAGTGTAAAAAAGACTGAATTTGTAATTGGAAGACCTGAATTTGAAGCCTGGTACTAATGACCTGTGTGACCTGAAGTAAATTACTTTGTCTCTCTGGCCCTCAGTTTCTTCATGTGTAAAATATAGGCCTTGGACTGGATGATCTGTAAGGTTGCTTCTAATTCAGAAACCTATGGAATTGTCATCAAATTCTGCAATACCTTTTGTAAAACTTTATGTAATCTTGTTTGGTGATTGCCCCATCACAGCTTTAGGTGAGGTTATCCTCTAAGTTTGAGTTTAGTGATCATGTGAGGGCTTTAAGAGACTGTAGCCCTAGTTTTTAAGTTCATGACTTTGGCTTCAGTATTGATTTTGATTGATGATGATATATTGATTTATATATTTTTTGCACATAGTAAGCACTTACTAAATGCTTTTAAATTCATTCATTCATTTCTTTAGAAATTAACCTTAAATAAATTTACTTCTCTGTGCTTCACTTTTTTGGTCTTTAAAATCAAGGCAACATAGACAAAGCAAGAGGTTGTTACTACACATGAAATATTCTTCCAGAAATGTTATATAGTTGTCAGTTGACATTGTTTTTCAAGGAGAACCATGGAGCTTTAATGTAATTATTATAATAAAGCAATAAAAATCATCATTTTAAGTAAACCATTTATTTCTATAGGCATTTATTATATGTCTGCTATGTGCAAAATACCATGTTAGCTTTGTGGGAATGGAAAGACAAAAATGAGAAACAGTTCCTAGATTTAAGGAACTTATTTTGTACTAGAGTCTAGTTTCTACTGAAATTTTTATTTTCTCTGTTCAGGTATAAAACTTTGGATGTTTTAATTTGAGATAATATTTAGGGACACTTTTTAAACTTTTGATCTTTTACCAGCAGTCCTTTGTAGTCATTCAGTGACTTTATAAAAATGTCATCTTTATAAAAATAGTTGTTCCTATTGAATTTAACTGTTGGCTTTAGGCTATGCTTATATTGAACCAAGAGAAGATGTTTTGTGATTTAGATTCATACTTGAAAATTGTGAAAGGTCCTGTCCAGTGCTAAATCTATGATCCTAAATAATGAATGTTACTGGGATTGTTTTTTTTTCCCCGTTACTTATTTTCATTTCAAATGTATGCTATATAAAATAGTTATAAAAAGTTAACTTAATAGCTTAACTCATGTAGCTTCTGAAAAGGCTATACCTGATCAGCCTTGAGTAATATCAATAGGTGACTTTACCATGTTTCTCCATCTGGTTCCTTGATTTCCTCATGTGAAGATATCTTCTTAATATACTCCATACTCTTTTTTTTTCTTCTACCCCTATCACCTTCTGCCTTTAGCGGAAGAATTTCTTTTTGTATAAGATATATTCTTTCAAAGCAGTATTCTAATCTGGGATCTATCTTATATTTTTCCAGTAGTCTCTATGATGTTAAATAAACCTTCTCACATTAGAATATCTTTTATATGTTGTACATAGATATTTGAGGCTTTTTTTTTTGTAGGTTCTGCCTTAGATATTGCTTCCTCTGAATTTCTGGGCATCTCTACATTCACTCCTCTATGGTGTAGCTATTCTCTATAGTATCTGGATTGTGGGTATACACAGTTGATTTTCTCCCCCTCCCCTTTAATTCATTTCAGAGCCCTTTTGATTAATTTGCAACACTCTAGTCTTGTTCATACTTACCCACACTAGTTTATTTAAATATTTTACTTCCTCTTCTGTTAATCTGAGCAATTTATATTTTTGTAAATATTCATCCATTTTACTGAGATTGTCAAATTTATTGGCATACAGTTGGGAAAAATAGTTCCTAATTATTGTTTTAATTTCCTCTTCATTGGTGGTGAATTCACCCTTTTCATTTTTTTATACTGGTAATTTTTATACTGGTAATTGTTTTTCTTCTTTCTTTTTTTAAAATTAAATTAACCAAAGGTTTGTCTATTTAATTGGTCTTTTCATAAAATCAGCTCTTAATTTTATTTATTAGTTCAATAATTTTCTTAATTTCAATTTTCTTAATCTCTCCTTTGGTTTTCAGTATTTCTAATTTGGTATTTGATTGAGGATTTTTAATTTGTTCTTTTTCTAGTTTTTTTTTTTTTAGTTACATGCCTAATTCATTGATCTCCTCTTTCTCTATTTTATTCACATAAGCATTTAGATATATAGAACTTCCCCTAAGAACTGCTTTGACTGCGTCCCATAAGTTTTGGTATGTTGTCTCATTATTGTCATTCTCTTGGATGAAGTTATTGATTGTTTCTATGATTTGTGGTTTGACCCACTCATTTTTTAGGGTTAGATTATTGAGTTTCCAATTAATTTTTAGTCTATCTTTCCATGGCCTTTTATTACATATAATTTTTGTTGTGTCATCATCTGAAAAAGATGCATTTAATATTTCTGCCTTTCTGCATTGGATTGTAAGGTTTTTATGCCCTAGTACGTGGTCAATTTTTGTGTATCCCACACTGGTTTAGTGTTTATCGTTCCTTTCCAGAATTCTAGTCTTTTCTCTGCCAATACTGAGCTATGTGACCTTGGACAAGCCAGCTAACTTCATGTGGCCTCAATTCCTTAGCATAATGTAAGCTCCTTGAGAACAAGGATTGGCTCACTTTTGTGTATTATATTTACAGGATCTAGCGTAGTAGATCGTAGGATCACATATCTCTCATCGAAAGGGACCTCAGACGTTTATGCAACCCTCTTGCTGGTCCTTGAATTTAATACTTAAGAAGGTACTTATACAGAAAAATCTCTTAAGAAATTATCAGCATGTTTATTGAGTATCTATTGGGTGTTCACGAAAGTTAATCAGTGATAGTACCCTTTATATACCCTCATAGAGTTTATATTCTAATATGACCAAATTATCATAGATAAAACCAAAGTGAAAGAGCCTCATAAGGCTGACCAATGTGGATAAGGTAGCATTTTTTTGTCAAACATAAAAGAAAATACCTAAATTTGTGTCTATAACAAATGACATTTTTAGGGATTAATTGGGGAAATTATGAAAAAATACCAAACATGAATGCTAAGGAATTTTTTTTTCCTCTCAGGACTTGGTAATACCCTGAATTATGCTATTTTGTTAAAAATATTATCCAGGGAATTTGAAATCAAAGCTTAGACAGAAAGATTCATTTTAGAAAAAGAAGCTGTGACTCATTTATAGTTTCTTAAATTATTTGTTAATAACTATATAAAATAGTATAAGAGAATATTTAGTTACATTATGCTAAGAAATTAAAGTTTACTTCTCTTTCAAGAGAGTCTTATTAGATTTGGTTTAATGGGGAAGAGAAGATGCTTATTAATTATTGAAACTTTTCACATAAAATATTTTAATCCCAGATGTACATTGACAACCTTTCAAATATTTGATGGCAACTATCATTTGTCTCCTCTATGACTTCTTTTTTTCTTCCTTAAAACCATTCCTTCAGTAGTTCCATATATGAATGTAAGCTCTTTGAAGCCAGAAACTACTTTTCATTTTGTTCTTTATAACTCCAACTGATGATTGAATGTTCATATTTCAGCATAAACCTGAATGTAAAATCGTCTCATCCTTTTAGGTACAAACTTGCTAAGTCAGTTATGAACTCATATGAAGCATACAATCACAAAATGGTATTCTAATGTTCAGCAAACCCGAAGACTCTAGCTACTGGGAAAAGGATTTACTATTTGACAAAAACTTCTGGGAAACTGGAAAGCAATCTGGCAGAAATTCGTATTAGATCAACATCTTACACCATAAACCAAGATAAACTCAAAGTAGATGTATGACCTAAGTATAAGTAGACTAGAGGAACAAGAAGAAATCACCTTTCAGATCTAGGATAGAAGAACTTTAGCATTACCATGGAGGCAAATGGCTTGGTGGATAGAGTGCTGGGCCTGGAGTCAGGAAGACTTGAGTTCAAATCCAGCCTCAGACACGCACTAGCTGTGTGACCCTGGGTAAGTTACTTAATCTCTGGTTGCTTTAATCCACTAGAAAAGGAAATGGCAACTACTCCAGTATATTTACCAAGAAAATCCCATGGACCTACGTATTGACATGATATGGTCCGTGGGGTTATAAAGAGTCCAACATGATGGAACAATAACAACAATAACAACAATCATTTCCTCAGTGCTTTTCTAAATATAAGCAATGTGTATCTTTGAATTTATTGAATATTGGATTAACGTAGATCCAGCCTAACTTGATGAGACTAGAGCAGAGATACGTGGATCAGAATACTGTTTTTATTTACATCTTGGTGATGCTGTAGTACCTTTTTTGCTTCTGAATAGAGGTTGTTAGTAAAGGTATAGAATTTTTAGGGTTATTTTTAGTAGACATTTTACATTTCGTGAGAGATCTAGAACCACGGTAATATATACAGATGAGGTCATCTACTGATTCAGTTGCATTTCTCTTCCATTTCTCTAGATAAGTTCCACTGAAATTTTGGAATATTCCTCAGATGTTGAAAAACAGGAAGACATAAAGAATGTGTTACCCACCAATTTAGGAGTTGCTCACAAATACCACTTGAATTTTGGATTAGATTTCGAACAAGACAAAGGAAGACCTGCAAGTGACTGGATAAAATCTGCACAGGTGCTTTTACATACCCCTAAGAAAGAAACAGATAAGGCTCCTAGGACTCCAGAAGATTCTGCAAAGAAAAAGAAAAAGAAGCTATTAAGGTAAACTTATGACTTTTATATTACTTGGCTTTTGTAGTTTTTCTCTTTAAAAACCCCAATATTTTTAAAATATTAGGGTTTTTTAAAACTTATTTGCCTGCTTTTAAGGGGAAACTGGCAGAATAAGATTGCAATTCTTATAAACAATTAAAGAAGGCCTATGATTTGCATGAGAATTTCTACACGTTCAGCATTCACAATTTTAGTAGTAACCACTCTGTACTCCTTTAGATTCAGTGACACAGCTTATTCTTGGTTTCTTGCTGTTATTCTTTCCTTTCCTCCTCAGTGTCATTATCACTGCAGTTGATCATTATCAAAAACAAGTGTCATGTGTGTTATGAATACATGTTGACCAGTGTCAATGGAGTATCCATTTTGCGGACCATGAATTTATATAGCGAAACTATGTCCAATCATTTGGTAATAGTCTAGTGAGAGAATATGTTCAAACAAATATTCTCCACCAGTTTTAAGATGTCATTTTTCTTCATCACTTATAATAAATATGATGAAGTGAAGGCTCTTTTATAAGCCTTTAACATCATTTCACTAGTCAAGTCATGTTAGCAAGCATTAATTAAGCATCTACTTTGTGCCAGGCACTGTTCTATGTGCTAGTTAAGCTAGCTTGCTTTTGATTCTGTATAGAGCTTTCTGTCCTACTTAATCAGTATATGCCCCATTTCTTTAGTGGCACCACCACCTTCCTTGGTGTCATGTTTGACTCTTTCCTCTCCCTTACCCTACATATCTGATCATTTGCAAAGTTCTGCCTTTCTACCAATTTGTAGTATCTCTTTCACCCAACCCCATCTGTCTATTACCATTGGGACCCTTATTGTTTCAGACACTTATCTCTTTTCCTCTGGACTATATAATACCCTCCTAATTGGTCTTCTTTTTCTAGTCTGTCTCTTCCCTGTTTAATCTTCTGAACTGTTACCTAAACAGTCTTCTCAGAGATCTGCTATTATCATACCCCTCCTCTATTCAAGGACCTTTCATTGGCTCCCTTTTACCTACCTACTGGAGAGGCATCATATTGTAGTGGAAGGTGTGCAGGCTGAAGAATCAGATGAACTGGGTTCATTTCCCAGCCCTGGTACTTACTAACTCTGTGATCCTGGGCAGGCAGCTTAACCTTTGTAAGCCTCAGTTTCCACTTTTGTAAATTGATAATAATGAATGCACTATCCATTTAACAGTGTTGTCAGAAAAAATGTTTTCTAAACCCCTCTCTCCAAGGTCACTAACTCCTAGAAAGAGTCATTTACATTTACATTCACTTCCTTACTACCCACTCATTTCCCAATAACTTTCAATCTTTTGAAAATCTCACTATTGAAACTTCTCTGTGAAAGCACTTAAATGCCAAATCTGGTGATCATTTCTCACAACTTATCCTCCTTGACGTCTTTGTAGCTTTTTTGACATTGTTGACCTCCTTTCTTGTCTTTGATAACTTTATCAAAGTTATCTGACTATAATATCTCACCATTTGTGATTATCTCAGCTGATCTGGGAGGGGGGTACAAATCTCCCTTTCCTTACATTTGTATTTGGATTAAGTGATTATAGTTTATATTTTTGTTCTGGAGCTGTTTCCTGAGGGGCTGTGTTCATTCAGCATATACTTACTAAATGTCTACAACATTTAAGGACTTGGGCTATACACTTGGTACCAAATATAAAGGTTTCTAGCTCTAAAACTATCGACAAGTCCCTTAATCTCTCTGAGGTTTGGTTTCCTTATCTATAAAATGGAGATAATAATACCTGTAACAACTCTTTCACAAGGTTATTCTGAGGTTCAAAGAATATATTGTGTGTTTGGTGCCTTATAAACTTTAAAGTTCACTATAAATTTTCAAGTAGACATAATTAGATTATGGTAATTTAGCTTATCAAGCACAGATTTCTGAATGATCAGATGAGCAGATGTAAATGGTTGACTTGGATCACTGAATTTATATTGTATGTTATACTTGTGAAGCCTTTTACAGGATGGGTGATAGTTAATCTTATAAAGTAGGTCAGTAGTTTCATAGGTCATTGATCACAGGTACTTTCATACCTATCAGTGAAAAATTTGGCATTATCCCTATTAAGGCCTTTTATAAGATGTGCTCTACACCTCTGTGTAAGTATTAAAAATATAAGTATTTATAATATTGCTTATACACTGGTTATTTAATATTGCTACATGCACATACCCCACAGTGTAGAAAATTGCTTAAGAGAATTTTATTCAACTTACTCAATTTTTGTGGGACTCATCCTTCATTTACTCTTTCTGTTTTAGTCATTTCTACCTTCTCTATTTCTACCCACAAAAGACAACCTTTATCTTAGAGTAGGTACATTGGATTTCCCATTAAAGTCTTGTGAAAACCAAATTAAAAGAAAGTAGACAATGATCTTTTATTTTAATTTTATTACCAGATTTCCTTTAGCTCTACCTTAGATCTTTGTTTTATTTTGAGCATGTTCATGCCCAATCAGTCTTTTTCTTATCCTGTATTTAATATTTTGACATAAAGGGCAGTAGAGATTCTAGCCATGTACTATTTAGCCTTGTTCTAACTCAGAGATGTCAAACATGTTGCTAACAAGTGCTGCCTGAACCAGATTAAAATGTAATTGTGAAATATTTAACAGAATAAATGAAAACAAAATAAAACAGATAATGTTAATGTGTGGTAAGTGCCTTATAAACTTTAAAGTTCGTTATAAATTTTCATGTAGACATAATTAGATTATGGAAATTTAGCTTATCAAACACAGATTTCTGAATGATCAGATGAGATTTAAATGGTTGACAGGGATTACTGAATAGTCCCTTGCTACTATAGCGTTTCTCTTCAACAGTTGCTCTGCTCTTTAGTAGTTAATAATAATAATGATAGCTAGTGGCAGCAGCTAGGTGGCGTAGTGGATACAGCACTGACCCTGGAGTCAGGAGGACCTGAGTTCAAATCCAGCCTCAGACATTTGACACTTACTAGCTATGTGAACCTGGGCAAGTCACTTAACTCCGATTGCCTCACCAAAAAGCAAAAAAAAAATATATTAATAATAATAATGATAGCTAGCATTTATGTAATGCTTTAAGGCTTGCAAAACACTGGATATATATTATATTATTTCATTTGATCCTCACAACAACCCTAGAAGATAGGTATTATTATTATTCCCACTTTACAGGGGAGGAAACTGAGACCAATACTTCTTTCTTGTGTGAAGGTCCGCCTGGATTCCCAAAGGTTATGCCAGTTGCGCTGGAAAGGCTTCAAGTACAGTTTTGGCAAGAGAATGTACCAGCTGTCCAAGGACTTTTTCCTCATTAAATAGGGCAAAGAAATCCAGGAAATATGGACATAGCAACCCACAAAAAATTTTTTTAGAAATACAAAATGACCACCAGTCTTGTGCTACTCCCTTCCAAATCTGCATTGATGATGGTGGAAAGAAGCAGAAGGGTCCCGGATTCATATAATTTAGACTGTATGTGGATATAACTTTTGGTACTCTAAATATGAGATCCTTATTCAAAGACCAACAAATTGATATATTTCTACAAGAACTGAACCTTATCAGGAGTGACATTCTTGCTATCAGTGAAACCAGAAGAAATGAAGAGTTTCAGTGAAATTGAAGACTGGCTTACAGGTTTCTACAGAGGGAAATGAAAAAGTTGGTATAAGTGGTTTCATGGTATATGTAACAGCGCAAGAAATTAATTTCATGGGATGTTTTGGCCGTCTCATCTTTCAGTGCTCATGACGAGCATAAACAAAAAGACTTCTGTTAAGATAATCACTGCTTATGTGCCAACATTTGTTGCAGAGGATGAAGAAGTAGAGAAATTTTATAAAGAATCTGATAAGGTATTCTCAACCTGTTCAACATCATCCTTAATCTTTGGTTGCCACAGGACAGTGAAAAAAGGAATGAAGAAATTAAAGAGGCCAGAGCCTTGTTTTATGTAGCCTCATATCTTATGAATAATTTTTCCCAGAAACAATCTTTTGGTGCCAGTCATGATAAACACTCAACAATATCACACAAAATGAAATATATCTTAAGCGACCGGAAGTACCTGATTATTGATGTGGATAGGAGTAATTTCAGAATTACTTGTTCATTTATAGTCAGATTATAGACTAATTTGAGAAAAGGTCAAATTAGAAGAAAGGATAAGGAAGGTACAGTTAGAAGAGCTCTAATGTGACCTGTTTAAGCAAGTCTTTGATGCTGAAAAGAATAGAACATGGATAAAAGTGAAGAAGACGCTGACTTTGATCGTCAATCTTTTTTTAAAAAAAAAATCTTATTGTTCTTTGATGTCTTTACATCATGATTATTTCACATAGACACTCTACATTGAATCTCGCCTTGTGATAAAGGAAAAAAGTTGAGCAAAAATACTCAGTGCAGTGACCACATCTGATAATTAGTGCTCTGACTGTCTGCCAAGAGAAGGTCTGTTTCATTATCTTTTCCTTGGTAACTTCATTGGTTTTATGTTACTTAGAGTTTTACTTCATTTTAGTGATCTTTTTGTTTACATTGCCATGGTTATGTACATTGTTCTCTTGAATCTGCTTATTTTGGTCTTCATTAGTCTATATAAATCTTCCCATGTTTTTCTCTATTCATCATTTCATACCGTGCAATAGTATCCCATTATAGTTATATATTGGGCAGCTAGGTGGGGCAGTGGATAGAGTACCAGGTATAGAGTCAGGAAGATGAGTCTTCCTTAGTTCAAATCCAGCCTCAGACACTAGCTGTGTGACTCTAGGCAAGTCATTTGACCCTGTTTACCTTGGTTTCCTCATCTGTCAAATGAGCTGAAGAAGGAAATGGCAAGCCACTCTTTGCCAAGAAAACCCCAAACAAGGTCACAAAGAGTGAGATTCCACTGAAATGACTGGACAACAGTAGTAATATATGTATATATATATATATATATATATATATATATGGATATTTTCTAACCATTCCTCTATCAGTGTGCTCCACCGGTATCTCACAGCTTCCCACAGTATTTCTCACAGCCCATCCAATATTGATTTTTCTCCTCTTTTGTCACCTTTGCCATTTGGCGTAGTATGAAGTAAAACCTTAGTTATTTTAATTTCTATTTCTCTTGTTATTAGTGATTTGAAGGATATTTTCATGTCGTCATTTACAGTTTGAATTTCTTCTGAAAACCTGGTGTAGATCCTTCAACTGCTTATCTTTTGGGAAATGACTCTCCTGCTTTATGTGTATCTGGTCTCTTCTAAGGATCTCCTTTCCTGGTTTGTTTGTTTTTTTTAAACAGGACCAAATTGTTTTGATGATTGCTATTAAATAAATTATAATGCCTCCCCATCACTCCCATGATCAAATATAAAATCCTCCATTTGGCTTTTGTATCCACCAAAGTGATTTTCCTAAAGTGTAGGTCCAACTATGTCACTCCCCTACTCAGTAAACTTTAGTGGCTCCCTTATTGCTTTCAGGATCAAATACAAAATTCTCTGTTTGGCATAGAAAGCCTTTCATAACCTATTCCCCTCCTACCTTTACACCTTAATCCCCAACACATACTTTTCAATCCATTGACACTAGCCTCCTTACTGCTCCATGAGCAGCAAGGCTCTAGGTATTTTTTCTGGCGAACCCTCATTCCTCAACTCCACCTACTCCTCCTGACCCTCTGACTTTATTTTTCATGCCATGGAAGTTCACTTCACCTCTGGATTTCTTACACTGGAAGTACTCTCTGTCCCTGTGGTCCTTTCCTTTAATTGTCCAGTTCTTCTGAGGAACTCCATTTGAAGGAGAATGCTCAACTCAGCCGTGTCTTCATTCTTTCCTGACTCTCCAGGCTTTCTCTACCATGCCCTCACTTGGGCTAACTTTTATGTGTTGTCTTCCCCCATTAGAAAATTATCTCCTAGAGGGCACAAGGAACTGTCTTATTTTCTGCTGTATTTGCGTTCCCAGCTCTCAGTGTAGTGCCTGATCCATAAGTCAGCACTTACTAAATGCCTCTTGACTTGATGTTTTACCCGGCTCCAAGGAATTTAAAATCCACTCTGGCCTACTTTCTGTTCCTGGAACAAGATACTCTGTCTCCTAACCCCAAACATTTTCACTGACTATCCTTCATGCTTGACATTCTCTCCCTCATCGTGTCTGCCTCCTGGCTTCCGTAGCTCTCTACATGTCTCAGCTTAAATCCTACCTTGTCCGAGAAACCTTTCCCAGTCCTTCTTAATGGTAATTCCTTCCCTCTGAGATTATCTCCAATTTATCCTTTATATTTCTTGTTAGTATATAGCTGTTTGCATATTAACTTCCCTATTAGATTGTGACTTCCTTGAGTATAGAGATTATTTTTCCCTTTCTTTGTATCCCCAGCACTTAGTACCATGCCTATCACATAGTAAGCGCTTGCAGACTTTTGTTGACTTGTCTAATATTTTATAGTATAGTTTGAAGTCTTATAATACTATACTCCCTTCACTTGTACTTTTTCTCATTATTTCCCTTTAGGTTTAGACCTTTGTTCTTCTAAATGAATTTTTAAATATTTTGCATAATTTTTTATAAAGTTATCTGTAGGCAATTATTGGTTAAGCACTACATTTGTAAATAGACTCTGGTAATGTCATTTTTTTACTATATTGGCACATCCAAAATACAAGCCCTTATGCAAATCTCCCTTTATTTATATCAAGTGTGTTTTGTAGTTGTATTTGTGTATGATCCATATGTCTTGGTAGAGTACTTCCAGATATTTTATGCTTTTTGTAATTACTTTGATTATAATTTGTCATACCATTTCTTCTTGGCTTTTATTAGTACTGTATAGAAATACTCATGATTTTTTGTGAATTTATTTTGTATCCTGCTGACTTAATGAAGTTGTTGTCTTATTTTATTTGCTGATTCACTTGTATTTTCTAAATAGACCCTCATGTTATATGCAGATAGAGTTTATTTTGTCTTATCTTTGATGATATGTTTACCTCTACATTTATTCTCATTTCTTCTTACTATAGCGTTTCTATGATTATATCAACTAGTAGTAGCATTTTGCCTCTGTTTGTACTTGAAAAGCTCCTAGAGTTTTCCTATTGATGCAAATAACACCTTATCAATTGTATATATATTCTCCATGAACCTATAAATGTATATATTGTTTCTTCTGATAAAATTTAAGTTCCTCTAGATCAGAGGCTGTTTCATTTTTGTCTTTGAATGTCCAGAATGTATCACAGTGATTGGCACGTAGTAGGTGCTCAATAAATGCTTGTGGACAGATTGATTGAACTTGAAGTTACAATGATCCAACACAAAAGAAGTACAGATCTATATTTCTTCTTCTTTTTTTTCCTCTAGAAGTCAAAGCTCTCTATTATAGAGATAAAGCTCTGAGGAGAATTCTATGACAGGATACCTATAAGGTTAAAACATTTGACTTAAGGGGACCAAAAATTACTCTTGTTGTATAGTTTACCTCTTTGCCAAATGGAATACTAATTCTTGACTAATTTAAACATTTTTTTTTCCCTCAATAGGGGAGGACTAGCAGAAAGGTTAAATCGATTACAGAACAGAGAGCGGTCTGCCATAACTTTTTGGAGGCATCAGAGTGCTGCTTCTAACAAAACACTTCCAGGTAAAACTTGCATAAATATATATTCTGGAAAATTACCAGATGAATTTTTGTGGACGTTTCAATTGCATTATTGATTATGTATAATATACTTTGTAAATGGATTATTTTTTCCTTAAGTTTCAATGATTCTCTAATAAAATTTGCCAAGCATACAAATCCATACTCCTAAGATCAAACAGAGCCTTAAAGCCACAGAATTTTTCTGATATATATATTTAAACTGATTTTGAAAACCTCTCTATGATGCTAATGGAGTAGAACCTTTTTCTAACTCTTCAACACTGAATACACATACATTTTCATGAACTCAAGGGTAGTTCCTTTCTTGAACAACCCTTTCTCTACTCTTCCATTTATCCTTTGTGGGGAGGGGTAACAACTCGTTTACCCTAGGATCATTTCTCTAGGTTAGAGAACATTAACCTGGAGTTTGTGAATTTGTTTTTCAGTTTGACCACTATATTTCAATATGATTGATCTCTTTTGTATTTTATTTCATGCATTTAAAAACATTATTCTGAGAAGGAATCCATAAACTTCACTAGACTGCCAAATCTGTCCAGGATACAAAAAAAAGGTTAAGAATCCCTGTTCTAGGAGTTCTTTTTTTTTTTTTTAATTTATTTATTTATTTTTAGTTTTCAGTGTTCACTTCCATAAGCTTTTGAGTTTTCAATCTTCTCAACTTTCTTCCTCTCCCCCTCCCCAAGACGGCGTGCATTCTGATATAGGCTCTACATGTACATTCATGTTAAACATATTTTCGCATTAGTCATATTGTAAAGAAGTATTAGAACCAATGAGAGGAACCACGAGAAACAAGAAACAAAACAAAACAACAAAAGAAAAAAAAAGAGATCAAATAGTATTCTTTGATATTCATTCAGATGCCATAGTTCTTTCTCTGGAGGTGGATAGTATTTTCCATCATGAGTCTTTTGGAGATGTCTTAGATCTTTGCATTGCTGAGAACAGCCAAGTCTATGAAAGTTAGTCATCTCACAATGTGGCTATTATTGTACAATATTCTTTTACTTCTGCTCACTTCACTCAGCATCAGTTCATATAAGCCTTTCCAAGTTTTTCTTAGCCTTCCACTTAACATTATTCACTTAGGCACATGACCCCAATTATACCTCTCTGAAAGGTCTTTCTTAATTTATGAATTCCTCTAAAGCCAAGTTCCTGCTAATCTAAAACAAATCTGCTCTTTTGGAATATTTTCATCTAGAATCTCCACTATAGGCTTGCACTTTTTTTTTAAACTTTGACTTATTGTTTATTTATTTATTTTAAGCATTTTTTAAAAAAAATTTTTGAGTTCCGCATTCTCTCCCTCCAACCCCTCCCCCACTCACTGAGAAGCAAGTGAAATGATATCAATTATACATGTGAAATCATGCAAACCATATTTTCATATTATAAGCTTGTACTTCTAAATTAAATTTGTAATCATTCACACCTTAAGATGACCTTGCACAAGTATATCTGTGTTCTTTGAGTAGTGTGCATGCAGGGATCTTCCTTGAGGCAGGGGCCTGCCATCAGGTATCTCCCTGTCTGAGGCATCTGTTTTACATAGCTGTCCCTCTTTTTCCTTGCCACATGTTGAATTTTAGAAATTATGATGCTAACTCATTTTTTTAAAGTCCGTTTTATTTGGGGCTAATTTTTAGGTCAGAAAAACTGCATCCTGAGTATAAAAATAAGTCTGATTATTGAGTCTTTAGTCTTATGTTTCATAAAATGTCAACCAGAACAAGATGATGTTTTACCATTCAAGAGCCCATAATACTCATAGTGCTTTTTGTTGTAGTGATCTTTGTTTTTGTACTCATTACAGATGTTGAAGGCATGTGCTTAAGCATCTCACATACCATTAGCTTTGAGAATTGGAGTACCTTTTTTGGTACTACCCTCAGCCTTTTGGTCTTTGTATTCCCAGTACCTGGCACATCATAAACACATAATAAATGTGTATTGACTGACTCAACAAAATGATCTCTTCTACCAATAATCTGAAGTGATTCAGTTATGTCCTAATAATTTTAACATTTCTATCAACTCAGGGAATACAAAGAAAGGCAAAGGGCAATTTGCCATCAAAGAACTCACAATCTAATGAGGGAGATGATAATCAAAAAAAAACAGATGGAAAAAGCTATATACAGCATAAATAAAAAATGATTAAGAGAAGGAAAGGCACTAGAAATAAAAGGGTTTGGGAAAGACTTCCTGTAGAATATGGGATTTTAGTTGGGACTTAAAGGAATCCAGAGAAACTAGTAGGTGGAGATGGAGAGGGAGAACATTCTAGGCATGGAGGAACAGCCAGAGAAAATGCCCAGAGCTGAAAGGTGGAGTGTCTTGTTTGTGGAACAGCCAAGAGGGCAGTGTCGTCGAATCGAAGAGTATGTATTGGGGAGTAAGGTGTAAGAAGACTGGAAAGATAGGAGGGGGCTAGGTTATGAAGGGCTTTGATTCTGTAGGTGATAGGAAGCCACTGGAATTTATTGAGTAGAAAAGGTGACATAGTAGTAGTTGGATGAGTGGGGATGGAGGGAAGTATAGGAAAAAAGATAGCTAGAGAAATAAACTGGACATCCTGACTTTTCTAAAGTGCCTATAGGGAGGAAAACCCTAGTTGCACAAGAAGAAAAATCAGTACATTATCTAATTTTATATTATCCATAAAGATACTAGAAAAATAGACAGATGAATTGAACATTGATTAAGCACTTACTGTATGTCAAGCACTATGCTAAACATTGGGAATTTAAAACCAAAAAACAAGAACAGTCCCTGCTCAAAGAGTTTACATTTTAATAGGGGAAGACAGAACATACTGGGATAAGCTGTGTGGAAGGGGAGCAAACTTAAGAGTGAGCTAGAGGTGAAGTGAGAGATTTCATATATTATGAGAGACTTTGTCAAATGAACCGCTGACATCCAAATCTACTCCATTAGCATTCCCCTGACTTATTAATGGGCAATTAGATGGTGCAGTAGATAGAGTGCCAGGCCTGGAGTCAGGAAAACTCATGTTCCTGAGTTCAAATCTGATCTCAGACAATCCCTAACTGTGTGACCTTGGGCAAGTCAGTAAACCCTATTTACCTCAGTTTCCTTATCTGTCAAAAGAGCTGAAGAAGAAAGTGGCAGGGGCAGCTAGGTGGTGCAGTGGATAGAGCACCGGCCCTGGTGTCAGGAGAACCTGAGTTCAGATCCGGTCTCAGACCAGACACTTGACACTTACTAGCTGTGTGACCCTGGGTAAGTCACTTAACCCCAATAGCCTCGCCAAAAAAAAAAAAAAAAAGCGGCAAATGACTTCAGTTATCTTTTCCAAGAAAGACCCAAATGGGATCACAAAGAGTCATTCATGACTGAAATAACTAACTGAACTACAGCAATCTGATTTATTTCCCTGGTCTTTTCCTCCTTATAACCAGATAAGTCTATCTATATATCATCCTATCACACTAAAGCTTCTGTTTTTCCTTCTTTGTTCTTCTCCCAAATGCTGTCACTGAGCCTGCCCATTTTGATTCATGGTCTTCCTTCCTGAAGTTTGTCTTCTTGATGTACATTGCTTTAATCTGTTTTGTTTAAATGAAAGACAAATCCTTCCTTTCTTCCTTCCTATTCTTCCTTCCCTTGCCGTGTTATAATCACTAGTCATAGCCAATCAAGTCTTTGAGACATTTTGTTTTCTTTTTTATTACTCATGCAACGTACATTTATGTGGATAACAGTCTGTAATTACTAAGACTTTTTCATATACAGAATCCTATTTCTCTGCTGATATTCCTGCTGATATTCTTATTTTCCTTGTGTCATATATGCTACTTTCTGTGGTATCTAGCTTAGCAAAAAATATGGGGGATGATTTTTTTCCTTCTTATTTCTTTCTAATTGAAAACCCATATGAACAGATCAACAAGACACCAGCCCTCTACAACCTTTGTATATGGAAATAGTAGTTGTGTTTGGTATGTGTTAAATTCAAAATTTAAAAAAAAAAAGGGTTGACTTGAAGACCTATGAAGAAACTTGTAATTCTGAGCTTCTAGAATTCTTTGTGGTGCTGTCAAAACAAATCTCTGGCTGAGTTACAAGCAATGGCTGGATAAATCATGACCATTTCCTGTGATATGCATACTATCAAGCAAAATTTACCTTCCACTGGAGGGGGCCACTTGTTCTTTTCTTAGTTACACTGGACATTACTAATTTTCTACCATTATCTTTATAAATGTCCCAGTCCTGACTCGGCATAGTTCACTGTACCAGAACGATAGGAAATTCCAAAGTTCTTATAATGTCTTCTGTAGCTTTGAGTAGAAGTATTCAGTAAGAAAAAAGCTATTGTCGAACTGAGTGGAATAGGGAAAGGATTACATTTTGTAAGAATTCCCCCAAACATTGATTTGCTTAAATGTTTATCAACCAGTTCCTTTGTAAATAGTATAGCTAAAATGGAAATGGGTTGGATTACTATGGTGGGTATGGAATACAACATAATTCTCAAATGCATAATAGTCAAATAAAGCTATTGTACCAATCCTCAACTGTTATTTAGTGACTGTAGTGTGCACCTCACTCTTCTTACTGGATGATATAAGGAATAGAAGAGAAATAGATGTGCTTCATAGGGTTGACCATTTAGTTGAGGAGAGAGGGCATACCTATATGAAATAGCTAATAACAAATGTGAATGTATACTAATTTCATGGAAGATGGCTGAAATGAAAGTAATGGGGGAGAGGGTGGCCTGCCCTAATGGAGATCTGAGATTGGAAGGATCAAGGGAGAGAGATGGGTAAAGGGAAAGCCAGAAGAGGTAGAGTGTCTGCAGCCTCTATACAGGAGGAAAAGCATTTCAGCTATGGAGGGTAAGGGGACGGCATCTTCAGAGGCAAAGAGTCAGGATATGGAATGCAGAGTTCAGGGAACAGCAGGCAGGCCAAGAGGTTCTGGGAGACTGAAATAGTGAAAAT